GGTTCGAAACACAGACCCTACAGTTCTCTATCGTCGCACATGACCTACGTCAGTGGTACAGGATGACGAGTTGTTCTGAGCAAACGGAAATGGCATTACAAGCTGGGAACCACCACGTATAACAAGCAATGCAAGCAAGGCAAACAAAACTGAAGCACAATGTCAGTGATCTGGAACAGACTCAATGTCAGGTTTCCAAGTGCGTCATTGGAACGCGTAATTTACCATTTGAAAAGTGGCGGAAACACGGGTATCGCTGATTATCTGACAATCTGCTAATGATTACACTGTTCTGAGTGACTAGATCAGTGACAAGCGCAGCGTCTACACATCTGATGGACTCGAGCCACCAAGTTACAGCGCATGAGGCGTTCCAGCCTATCTATCGTGTACACAGATGCCACACAAGAGCAGTTACATGTCGTCTAGTGGCAGCGGCCGAGGCATTAGCCATCAGGCTTCATGATTCTGACCTATGTGCGCACAAGGAATTTGTCCAGGCACTAACTCTACCCTGGTCCCCTGTAACACGGACACAGTGTGGACAACGCCACACACACACACCATTGATCGCCGTGACCCAATCACCTACGTTGGTCACTCAGACCATCTGGGTTTTGAACCTGTATCCTTACCTGATGTTTACGTTCATGTCATTCATTTGTAGTGTATTAGCCTGATTAGAAACCACTGAAAAAGAGCTTGTTCGCTAACATTTGTTCTGATGGCTATTCCCGGGATGTTTTATAGTCAATCTCATCCTATTTGAATGTAATGACAACTTGTATCTTCCTGTGCGCCATATCGTGGACCAATGGGATGTGATTTCGGATACATTAAAAAGAACCCTTGTATTCCTCTCTTGGAATCCGTGCTGTGTGCCCTTGCTGTAAGGTAGCAAGTGCAGTGACACTATTTCATTGTGGACCCGTCCGATGACACGGTAGTTAAATGACTGAACGGGCCCGGGAGTTTTTACGAGTCACTCGAGCCCCTCCGCACCCCCAAGCGAATTTGGCGCTTACAGTCATGCAGAGGTCCGATTGATATCGGGCTCACAAAGCATAAGAGAACATTGGCTAATCGGCATACTTGTTTAGCGCACAATAGGTTAAAGGCTTGGAAACTGTTCATCGTAGCTGATTGGCAACTTCTCGACCAAAGATTACTTGATTTTAGATGGACCATATTGAACCGACCAAGGAACGATCTCTTAAATAATAGAGAAACCGATGTAGTTTTTCGTTTATACTAATCAACCCGACCTTTTAATAAAGAACTGCATCTGAATGTGTGGTTTCATGATCAGTCAATAAATCGGTTTCTAATCCACCTATCCGAATGCGAGCTGAGACAACCCAGTCAACTATTTTGCATGCACACGAATAGCACAGCTTGAAAATAAGACATAACAAGTGTCACTAGCAAGTTCCGATGATGAAGATGATAGGCAACTCGAAACATTGAAAGTACGATGTAACGTAGGGACCGGCTACTGGTTAACATTTGCATCATGTTGAGCGCATCGGTAATACGCGTTCGGGGGGAGTTTAAGGACTTGAGCTCAATAAAAATTGACGAATGCAACAACCGATATGGTTGGTAGCATCCGGTTCCTGATTTCCCAGTCACTGTGGGCAGCAGCATGACGTCTGCGCCTACAGAGGGACCGTGGGCAGCTTGCGCTATACCACCCACAGCTCCAACCACACACCCCATATCCAGTGTAAACCCGAAGGAATAAGACCGGGAGGCATGTGGATGGGAGCCAGGTTTCATCAACGGAGCAGGCCCACACTCCTTCACAGGCAAACACAAGCACGCTGTATTTAGGGAATCAAACGCACACAAGGCCGTGGCTGGACGTAGTTCACTCCACACTGAGGGCATGGAACCGGCTCTTCGAGCATAGCGCGGCCACAAGGACTGTGCACCCTATTCCCTCCAGCAACGACCAACTGTCGTCTGGAGCCAATATGGACGACCTAGTGGGTAATAGACAGGTATGCACATCAAGCGCAGCCACACAGGAAATGTCAAACAACAGCCAATCCCTTAGAATAACACTATCAAACAAAATATATCTGTCAAAGCATACAGCTATGCAGACATAACTCTTCGGTAATTAGCATAGGAAATAAGGTGGTTAGCAACAAACCGATATGGTTGGCGGCATCCGGTTCCGGACTTGCCTGTCACTGCGGCCAGCCACAGGACGCCTGCGCCTACAGAGGGACCATGGGTGGCTTGCGCTGCACCACCCACAGCTCCAACCACCTACCACCTATCCAGTGCAAACCCGAAAGAATAAGACCGGGAGGCGTGCGGATGGGAGCCACGTTTCATCAACGGAGCCGGCCCACACTCCTTCACAGCAAACACAAGCGCGCTGTATTTGGAAATCAAGCGCACACAAGGCGGTGGCTGGACGGTGGTCCGCTCCACACTGAGTGCATGGAACCACTCTTTGATCCTAACACGGCCACAAGGACCGTGCACCCTGTCCCCTCCAGCAACGACCAACTGTCTACTGGAGCCAGTATGGACGAGGTAGTGGGTAATAGACAGGTAGGCACCTTGTCAACATGCACATCAAGCGCAGCCACACCGGGGATATCAAACAACAGCCAATCACTTGAGAGAGAGACAAAGAAAACAACTCGATTAATGCATAAGGAAACGATGACATAAACCTTAAGTTATTGAGCATATGAAATAAGTTGTTTACAAACGAATACTAGATAAGTTCACGAGGTCAGAAAGTATACCTTACGGAAATGCCACGAACACAAAAATGTTATGGAAATCGAATACAATTGGCTTAAGTGAGGTGTGCAAGCTAATGGAACAGAGTACAGGTAGACATTTATATGAGAAAGAAAACCATTAAGGCAAAATTGAAAACCCACCACCTGAAATAAAGAGACTTAGCATGCAAGCACGCGGTTAGTAAATCGAATGCAGCGTACCTACAAAAGCTGCGACGGTTCTGCATACGTTCTCTGCAGGACCCGTCGTCGCTTCGGTAGTAGTCCCGAGTGGCCTCGCTCATGGCTCACTAAACCTGCCTGACTAAGGCACTCGCGACCGCATGTGCTACAGCACCATGCGCTCGATGTCGATGGAGAACAACCCATCGGTGCTTGCCGCTTCCGCACTTGCCGCTTCTTCTCCGCATGCATGAGGGCTTTCTCCTGCACCTCCGCAACTGCCTTCGTGATCAGATCGCGCCATACACGCCGATCAACCGCCTTCGATTCCCATGATCTGCAATCAAGATTAGAACGTGTGAGGCTCACTTTAATCATGTCCTGGTATGGTAACTTGGGTTTCCCCACGTGCCGCTTCCCAGTACTCAGCTGACCATATAATAGCTGCTTCGGTATCCGCGTCGAATCCATACGGCTCACATGACCGATCCATCTCAGGTGTCTGAATACAAGTATGCAGTCCACTGCATACATGCCACTTCGGCGCAACCCTTCCGTGTCTGCAACTCTGTCGCCCCAGCCGATGCGCAAAATCCGTCGCAGACACTGCTGATGGAACCTCTCGAGATATCTCACATCCCGACTGTACATCGTCCACGTTTCACTGCCGTATAGAAGAACGGACAGCACCATGGATTTGTATAGCATCAGCTTCGTGCCAACGGTAAGCTGATGGTTGTTCCACACTCGGTATTCAAGCTTCCCGAATGCCGCCGCTGCCTTCGACACGCGGATACGCAGCTCACTGTGTAGCTGCTGATCAGTCCACATCACACTCCCAAGGTAGCAAAAGCTGGAGGTGAACAAACCGATATAGCCTCACTATTACATGCATTTTCCATTGCTTCCAAAAGTATCCTTAGTGCAATCATCAGTGAGTTCCTCGACTCCAACTAAAGACGTGTCTATGGAACTCATCTGTGCACTATTCGCCTACAATAGCATTGTAGAAATTTGAGATGATGCTCAACCGAAGTTTATCGAGAACACATAGCACCAAGCGCACTTTGTACCCGGAAAATATGTGCATTTCTGCTAGAGCGAACGATCGAACTATGATTTTGGCGAGGGCGATTTTTATTCGTTATGACGACTACTTTTGAGACGACTATTTTGGTGCCGATCGCTTCAAACGATGAGAGTACCACCAAAAATATTTCCACTTTGGAAGCGGTCCCACCGATAGAAACAATCGAGGTTTACTTCAAAGTAAATTGCAGCATATATATATTTGCAACGGTCTAGGAATTAGACATAAAGCCATCAGAAACCATGGGACTCAAAACAAGGTACAGAAATAGTAAAAGAAAAACAAAACACAAAACATTAAATTCCATGGTTTCGTCAGAGGGCGAGATACTACCCGGTTGCCCAAGCCGAAGTAGGGTGTTGACATAGGGGACACCTCCCAAGCCTTTGGCTAAATAGCCTGCCTGCAAGGCAGCGGAGCGAATTCAAAGAATCACGCCCACTGGGAGCCGATGACTGATTGCTCAGTTCATACGTCTTTCGTTTGTTCCTTTGTCAAACAGGGGCCCAATGCGCCACTGAATTGCAGCATAAAGTAGCTGGAATACAATGCTTCGCCAGCATGAAGTAAGGGGCAGCTTGAGATTGTGTCACAACACAAACAGACAGTCAACCGACAAAGAGCTACCACTGAAGTTCCAAGAACATTTCAAGAGATACCGCCTTCAGCGGGCAAGCATGTGAAAGGAACTTGGGTGTGAAACGTTGTACACATCTGTAGTAGCTGATGACGTAATTTCAAAAGATAATAACAGTAGCGATTGGTATCTGTTTGTGTGCAGAAGCAGAAGGACGCTGGCCTATTGAGTGAATGATATCTGAAGCGGGTGAAAACTAAACCGATAGCCTAGGGAGAGATGGAGGAAAGGTTGAACGATCGCGGGAAGACAGTGGCGCAAATTGTGGCACAGGATTGTCAAAGGAGTGCAAAAACTTGAGCACATGGAGAAACGAGTAAGTAAGTAAGTAGTAAATGCTCACCATTATTTTCAACTGCTCCTCCATGTTATCGATCGCGGCCTTGTGACGACTTAGCTCCAACTGCCGCAAGCGATTGCGTGATTCCGCAGTCAGGGTGAGTTCGCGTAACTTCGCCTTACGTATTAGAGCATCCAGTCTGGTGAAAAATATAGTGTAACGAGTTGATGTGATTGAGGTTTACAAACAGGAAGAAGTTTACAATTGATTGCTGATGAAAACGACAAGATTGAAACAAGACACATGTTGGAATCACCATAGATGCTGCAGTGTTCGATATAGAGGGGTGGCAACACTACAAGCACACAAAACTGTCGGCTAATTCTATAACTCTTGTAGCGCGCTTCCCATCACAGATACCGGAGTGTCGTTCAAGATGATATTGTTGCTTAGGGCAGATACAAAGCGCATCGAAAAAATCAAACGCCCTTTGGACTGCTGCGAAGGGTGTACGGAAGGTTTGACGCATCGATATTTCCGTAAATACTTGGCGCATACGTGAGGCCGCAGGTGGAATACGCTATCCAAGCCTGACAGCTCTGGTAGAAGCACTATCTCGCCACGCTCGACACTGTCCCATTGAAGTAAACCTTGGCGAGTTCGATCACTGGGACCGTGAATGATGAAGCCGATAGATGGTGATTCAGTAATCCTTTGTCACTCAATGGGCCTTAGCGTATATTGTGTGGGTGTGTGGGCGAACCTATGCAGATGCACTACTAATGGAACAGTGTACGCTATCACGGCTGCATCGAACCCATTCTAACTTTACTGACCTGCTGCTTCCAAGGTTTACCTTAATGGGGATCGTGGTTCACATTGAGATTGCACATCGCGATCCATTCACAAAACTAATGATTTACATTGCCCCTCCAATGCTAGGAAGCATCTGTTAAAGTCATAACAGAAAACGCGACTCGAGAGCCTGAATTTCCAATATTCATACAGCGACACATGTTCATGCGTGAAAGTACAGGCATATACACTGCGTGAATGTCGGTAGGGAGAGTGGGGAACACAGTCACCGCCTTTGATCGAGGTTCACGCTCAATAGGAAGGTATGCTGTGGCCTCTGCTGCTTACACAATTCGGTTGCATTATAATGACTACAATGTAGTCTGAACAGCGTCTAGTCGTTTTACTTCTCATTTGTTGCCAGCAAAATGCTGATTTTCTGCTTAGAATATAATGTGTCCGATTCCGTTTGCAAACCGTTCAATTTGCTTTGCAAAATATTCATTTTAAAGTTAATACACATAGAACATATATAGAAAAACAACGGAAATCAACAGAAGACAGGTTGAACCGCTGCATCATCATCATGACACTTTAGCTGGTGAGTAAAAGATTTCAGCTATTTTGCCGCAAAAAGGAAATTTGCTATTTTGCACACCTAAGTTTTTCGTTTTTGTACTTTTAAATTGTTAAGTATTAGGCATCTGAATTTAAACAAGTATGTACACAGATCTTCCACTGGTTCCAATTGTGCGCCATATCCTGCCATCTGCATACCTCGTCCTTTTCCCTCCAACCGGGCAGACGTGTGGATCCAACAGCAGCTGTGTGTTATCGCCAAGTGAATGGCTGATCAGCATGTAGTCTCTTCCAGTTCAGTCCTACATGAGCGAAAACAGTACAAGGGGGCAAACGCTCAGCTAACATAGGCGGGGAGTGGCCAAGCCATCTTAAATGACGTGATAAAACCAGTTTGTTGAAGGTGATACTAGCATTCCCTAAGACACGAGGTCTGACTTCACAAATGCAGATACATTGTTGTCAACAAACATGTACAATCCATTGTCAAAGGCCAATAACCGGCGCATAACATCTACGCGAACTGGCGATGACTCACTACCATATAGCAACACCTCCCGAATGGTGGCATGGTAAACACGACCGTTTACCAAGAGGGAAACATCCCGACGAAGCCACAAGTGTTGCAGGCTGATAAACGCCGGTTGAGTTTTGGCGATGTGAAGGAAAGCTTCTTTCTCAGTAGTGTCACCAGCAGACGCACAACTGCTCAGGTAGACAGGGCTATCCATGTGTCTAAGCTATGTACCCTTAAAAGTGAGCAACGGAATGGGCGAGTGCCAATCCTGGAGCAGAACTTTACACTTCCACGAGGTAAAAGACAATCCGTATCTAGATGCCTCAATCGCGAAACGGTTAAGAACGGTCTGCGTACTCAGTAAATCGTCACCAAGTAAGGCGATATCGCCAGCATAATCTAAGTCGGTCGCTCGCTTGCCCGATAGTATTTGCTTACCAAAATGTTGGTAACCATCCGGAGCTCTCGACAGGACGTCTACAATTGCAAAATTGTAGAGCAAAGGGGACACAGGACAGCCTCGACATACACCGCTACTGATAACAAAGGACAGCGAAAGCTTACCAGAGACCATTAGTATGCCGAAGAGGTTGAGATAGAGTGCGCGCAAAATGGCAGTGCATTTTAAAAGGACCCCATTATTTAGCAACAAACGCCATAGCGCAGGTCGATCAACCGAATTGAATGCAGTACGGATATCTACGAATGTAACGATGGTAGGTTTCTGGTAGAGGTGGCGGTGTTCGAGGATTTGACAGAGCGTGAACAATTGATCCACACACTCACGATCAGGACGTTACTATGGTTCTCGAGTCAGGAACAGTCTACGGATTAGAATGGATGCCAATGGCTTGGAGGCAACCGAAATGTGACCAATAACCCGGTGATTGGTGCATGAAGTGCAAGCACCTTTCTTAAAATTGAGACAATAACCGATTAGCCTCAGAAAGAAAGCACCTTTTCTTCTTGCCAGATTTGGGAAAATAATGAGGTTAGCCGGCTGGTGATAACTGCGTCGCCATTTCTGAACAGCTCTGGAAAAAGTCCGTCTGAGCCGGCAGCCTTGAATCGCTTCAAATGCCGAAACAGAAACCAAACTTCCGCTTCACTATGTCGATCAAGTGTGACGACACAGGGCGGGCAGCCGGGTCCGCAGGGAATACAAGTGGACAGTGAGGGCCAATTGAACTGGGAATGTAAACCTTAGGCCCATCAAACCAAGCCTCTGTAGGTTGGGAATCTACAAACCATCCGCCTCGCAAAAAGCTCAATGACACTAGTCTTCCTGTGCCCCGTGGACCAAGTGAACTGGAAGAGTTTGCGAGTATTGCCAAAGAGAGCAGCAGCCTCCATTTCCGAAGTAGACTGAGACCACCAGGCTTCACGATCACTGCATAGGCTTTGTTTCAGCTGCCGACTGACGAAACGGTGCACTTTATTATGATTAGACTCCGCTGGGATAGTACGACGGCAGTCAAATAGATCCAGGGAGCGCGTGTAGATCCAGGTTTTCAAAGGGTGCTGAGTAGGACCACAGACTAACTGCCCGAAACAGATCATGGTCCTCTGCGTGAACGTCCAGTGTTCAGCAATGTATTGCGATGAGTCACGAGTGCATCGGCCAGGGGAGATTGATAGCTGACTGCCGCGGCTGATTCCGAATCACCAGATAGACGTAGATAAAATATGGCTTCGTGGTCGGTGGGAGACATGGACTCAATCACAATACTTGGATTTTGCAAGCGTGTTTCGAAAAGACAGCAAACATTGATGGCGAGGGATTCCAAGGTGCGCGCAAGACCAGCCTGCTGCTCGATCTGCTTGAGTGTAAGTAATTGAAGCACGCCAGACGGAACGAGGATAAAGGCCGAAAACGAGCCACTGGGCGAGCTCCGTGGTTGTCGACAAAACCATCGGGAGTAGAATCATGGAAACAGGAATCGGCTGGTAACGGACAACAGTGATTGATAACAAATGAACAAGTGGCGTGTTAAGGTGTAAGAGTAGGGAAAGCAAAGAGCAGTTGAACGTGACACTGCAGATGAACGATACATGGTTTTGTCATTGGGGTTGATACCATCCTGTCGACCAAGCCGAAATAGGGAGTTGTCTTAGGGAACACCACCACGAGTCTTCGGCTAAATAGCCTGCGCGCAAAGCAGCGGGAGAATTCAGAGAACCGCGCCCATTGGAAGTCGGTGAGTGCTTGCTCCGCATGTACGTCGTTCGTTTGGTAAGACACCGAACAGTAGCCCAATACTCCAAATGATGTCAGCACACTTGCTGGAGTGCACTGCTCCACCAAAAGGAAGTAAGCCGCAGTGACTACATTTAGTGACGAGTCACATCTGCCACATCGCAGTGTTGTTAAATGGACGTATGTAGGTTTTAATAAGGAGAACGTTTGTCAGGAGATAAGCTAAAACGTCCTGAAACACTACTGCCAAAAACATAGCTCGAGCGGCGCAAGTCCGAACCACCCAGTTGACACCACGAAGAGGAAGGTCAGTAAATCTTGAGTAAGAAGGCATGCAGCGTCAGGTTCCATTCTATCGAGAATTATCTGTGCAAGGCCCAGTTTCACGCTTAAAAGAACTATGGTCCGCGTATCCTCATTATATAAGCATGATATGAATTGGAAACTTTACTGACGGAGTAGTAGACATGACATGATACATGAGGTACTCAGGCAAACATTTGAAGCAATCATTATCATCGGTACACGTTAGCTGATGGTGAGAAATACACCTCAGTTAATGTGTCGCAATACTATAAGAATAAAAATTACACTGCAAAAAATATAATGCTAAATATTATATCGTGCGTTTTACATGAGATCGGGATTGGAGGTGGAACCTAAAGGGAGGGGGATGAAAAATGAACCGCACAACACAAACGCCACTGGGGCCAGCTCCAAGCCATATCAGCAAGTGTGTCCAACAAAACGTGCTCATGATCTTTAGGACCCCAGCCAGGCGGTCAGGATGCACCAACCGACGCCAGTTTCGAAGTGAGGGCTTTCATTCCGCTCAACCAAATCATCGATTAGCCTCCTCTCTTCCCCTTTCAACCGCACTGTCGACGCGCAAATAATGCACATCGCGAGTCCGTGTGTTGGCAGGCGCAACACGTGGCCCAGCCATCGGAGCCTGGTGCGTGATATAATGGTGCTGAGCGGTTCACTCGCTCTTCCTGCACCAAATAAGCGACGCCGAACACGCTCATTGCTCACGCAGTGCTCCCACCAGACAAGAGCTAAGCTGCGAAGGCAGCGATGATCGAATATGACGAGTCTCTTTATGTCTGTC